CAATACAGATTGGGTTCATTTTTAGGTGCAGCATGAAATCTGTGGACTCTAAACACCTAATTTGTGTAACGGATGAGCATACGGAAGAAAGATGTGACTCCCTAACCTCAAAAAACATTACCAACCCAGAAATATCTTGCATTTAAATAAGACTTCACTTGGGCTTCAGCCCCTCCCTTCAGTACAGCAGCAAGGTTTCCAACAGGCACATTGGAAGAAAGGAAATTTGTTTTAGTTGGGTCAGTTTTGAAACAGTTTTTACAGACTGCAGAAACTAGATGACTGTACATAAGAAAGGGAGCGAGAGTTAACATGGAAAGTCTTACTGGCCTGCTGGTTTTTCTGGACACCTGGAAACACATTTAACCTGCTGAGTTGTGCAGGAAACCAGGTACCTATAAATGCTAGAGTGCCCTGATATCCCAGCCACCTGAAGCAAGGCACGCTCTGCAACTTTGTACTTCAAACCTCTTTCACCTCCTTCTGTGCCCCTTTTCCCCATCCTTTCATGCTCCCCCTTTTTCCGGGCACCAGTATGGCCTGTGCGATGTTACCTTCTTTGAATGGATCCCGTCCATGCATCTGGAATATGTATCTGTCAATAATTGGCACAGGTCCTACTTATTTCTTAGGAAACTGGCATCTAGTAGAATCCTTCAGGACCCACCCATGTGGATGCCTAATGGTGAAACTAAGGAACCATGATAGGATAGGGTAAATGGAAGCTCAGATATTTGGCGAGTGGAGGCGCTTTCCCCAAATCTCCCAAATCTCTGAGAGCTGTTTCTACCTCCAGTTTCAAACTGTCTAGCATTATGACACGTCTTAGAACTTCCTTCTAAAAGAGACATAAAAAAATCTACTGATTTATTATCCAAGAAGATTCATCTGTTAGCCCGCTTGTTTACCTCTCCAATGTATTCTCATTTGTAGCTAGATTTTCTAATTTTAACAATGAAGAAACTCTCAGGACTTCCCAGTGGAGGCTTATTGGTTCAGATGGCTCAGGCAGAACTTGGGCAGCTGACCCTTCCTTTTTAGAATTTTTTTTTTCTCAGCACCAAATGTTATAAGGAACGTTTAATTGTGAAATGCATTTTACATCCACTTGCGTTATAAAATTAGAAATGAAGAAGTCACAGGAAGTCACCGACGTCTTCCGTAGGCTTCCTTTCGCTCAGGCTATTACACTCCTCTTAGCTTTACTTCCTCTCTCCCAGCCTAGAGCCCACAATGGCACATTTATCTATTTTATACCAGTATCCTCAAAATCTGCTACCACTTTTCTACCTCATTTTCTCTGATGACCTCTGGATTTGGATTAATTCAGCAATTTGCTTTTATCTTCTCCTACCCCGGGGGCTGACCGACCCTGGTGGAGCAAATCGCACCGGGTATTTTCACTAGAGGTTTTAAATCTCCCAATTCAGGAGGGTACTCAACGCTCCTCAAAAATCCTTTTAGGTGTAGTTAACCAGTACTCCTTCCCTTTATTCATAGTGTCTCAATATTCTCTCTTCTTCTCAACACCCTACCCTATTACATTAACAAATAACCCTTTCTCCAACATGAGCTACAAATTCTTTCAACTTCTCATCCCATGTGCATAAACTCATCTATATACATTACCACGTTTTTTCTTCCGATCTCAGAGAAAAATACCTCTTCTTCCACCATTAATCTTTTGATTTAAGCTCCATGCCATCTCCGTTTTTTTCCATCCATCCATTTAATGTATACTTATCAAATATTAATTACGTGCAACTATGCTACAAGCTTGTGGCGTTGTAGTAAGCAGGAAATTCTAGATGCAGAAGACATGAAATAAAATCAATAAATTAATGCTGTGGCTTCCAAACCTGTGAAACCACATGTTTCTGTTGTTTTAAGCCAGAAGGTTCATCATGGGCAGTCACAGGAAACTAAGATAGAGTTTGGAATCAAAACGTGGGTTGCTGCTATAATAAATACCTAAAACTGTGCAAGTGTCATCCATTTACCTTGAAGAAAATTGCTGGCAGAAACACAGACGTTAGCGATGCTGCAGGTGAGGGCTTAGAAGGAAGTGAGGAGCACAGAAAAGAAAGTTTCTGTCCTCTTTAAGAATACATACATTTGGGGCGCCTGGGTGGCTCAGTTGGTTGCGAGTCCAACTTCGGCTCAGGTCATGATCTCGCAGTTCATGGGTTCGAGCCCCATGTCAGGCTCTGTGCTGACAGCTCAGAGCCTGGAGCCTGCTTTGAATTCTGTGTCTCCCTCTCTCTCTGCTCCTCCCCTGTTCACGCTCTGTCTCTCTGTCTCTCTCAAAAATAAATAAACATTTAAAAAATGCTTTAAGAATACATATATTGTCTTGAACAGAATGTTGGTAAAAAGATGACCTTTCTAAGTGCCTTTTGTGAGGGTTCAGAAGGAAATGCAGAACACATTAGTGTGAACTGGAGGGAAGATGATCTTTGCAAGATAGTGGCAGAAACCTTGGCTAAATTGTGTCCTACAGCTGTGTGGAAAGAAGAATGTGTAAGTCATGAACTTGGATATTTAGCTGAGGAAAATTCCAAGCCAAGCGTTGAAGGTGTGGCCTGGTGTTTCTGTTCATAGTAAAATGTGAGAAGAAAGATAAATTGAGGAAGAAACTGAGAAGCAGATTTTTTTTTCTTGTAATTTGTTACAGCAGCCACAGGAAACTAATATAGCCCTTAGCGAAGTCAAGAATATCTCATATTATTCAGAAATGTCAATCTGTGGATCTTTAGTGTAGGATAAGATTAGTTTAGGCTGCCTGTTAGTTAATGTTAACATTAAATACCTGATCACTAGATCGCGATACCTGATCAAAACGTGTTTGTTTGTTTTATTTTATGTCACTTGAACATTCAGGTCATGCTCCTATCAGCACTCAGTTGATTTTTTTTAAAGATTATCCACCAAAAATAAGTAAAATAAATCCACTTTCTCTTAGAACTCACGTTCCCAAACTGGCCTATTAACAACTCGTGAGTTGTCCTTTTGTTTGTAGATTTTTATTTATACTGATTGTTTTTTAAGACATATATTCTCAGGGCCTACTGCTGAATTGATTTGGGGGATATGGAGATTGGATATTTATGTTTTCATGAGGCTCTTGTAGGTCACTATAATAACCATCCACTTTAGGGAACCATTGGAATTACAGACCAAAGCTGGATTTGCCTACCTTTTCTTAAGTATCTGCTGCGTGTCAGATATATACTAGGTGAGTTTTATGTAATATTTGCATTGAATCCTACAATAAGTGGATTCTTAATCTCTGCTTGGAGGTTCTTAATCTCTGGCAAACTGAGGTTTGAAGAAGTTGTACCATTTATCTAAGCCAGTAATTAGGGGAACTGATATTTGACCACTTATCTATCTGCTGCCAAAACCCATGCTCTTAGTACAGAAAAATCAGCATAACGCAGTGAAATGAAGACCATTCGTTCGCATTTCCTTATATATCTTTTCCGGGTGAATCATGCTGAGTAAGTAATCTAACTTCTCAAGTGTCAATTTGCTGTATTTAGAGAAGAGGTTAATAATATGGATCACAACCAGTTGTTACAATTATCTGCATAATAGTACTTTATTAAGTATGATGGGTAAATGGTGGATGCATGCAAATATGGTTTTACTATGGTTTTTACTCGTATCTATTTCTTCTTTACAGACTAAGCAAAGTGTAGTTATATTATCTGGCAGAAGTGTCTACTCCCACAAAATGATACATAGACTGCCAGCTTCTTTTATTCTCGAGAACTGAAGGCTTCCTGAATGGCTATTTCTAGAGCCAGACTGCAGCAGAGTTTGAGTCCCAACTGTGTCATTCACTAACAGTCCAATCATGAACTAGCCTCGTCATGATTTCAATTATTCACCCGTAAAAGGGGGAAGAGATCCTGTTGGTTTAAATTGAAATGATACAGAGTGCCCATAATATTTATTTAGGATCATCATAATTTAATTATGACATTACTAACAGTAGCCGTGTTAGAAGGATGGTGAATATTCTTTGTGAGGTTCTACTGGGCACCCTCCTGAGAAGTGTAGCACAGGCAGGGGATGGAAGAAACCAGCAGTGAGGCAGTGGGCACTGCAGGGCAAGGTAAAAAACCAAGACTAATTACAACCTACCTGAATACCAACTCCCACTGGAGCCTTATCCTCCTCTCTATGCCAGCAAACTTATTTCAACTGTGGTTACTCTGTAGCACAGAGAGTCTCAGCAAGTAACCCCTAAGTAGATAGGGAAGATGAAGAGTTTAATTATATATCTCCATATATCTCCATACATGCATTCACGTGCAGAGTGAGAAAAAGAATATTTCCTTTGGCACTTGGCAGGAGGCCAGTTGGCAGGGCAATCATAAGCTACTTGGTAACATTAATTATGTCGGAGTGTTCTCTTGTGGTATATGGTCTAATTAGCATAGCGGTGGCTACCATTTGGTGAATTCCTGTGCCAGGAACTGTGCTAGACAATTTGTGTGCATTCTTTCTAGACCGGAAAACTCTATTGAATAAGAACTTTCACCTAATTTTAAAGATGAAGGAACTGAGATATAGAGATATTAAGTACGGTATCAAAGGATAAAGATCTGAGAAATATTGGTGCTGAGATTCAAAATAGTGTCAAACCAATACAGCCTATGTCCTGTCCACTACAACGAGATGCCTCCACAGGAACTTCTCATGGCTTGCGTTGCTTTTATAGCAACTACTGTTACTGGTTATTCTTCCTCCGCTTGTTTATTTTACTTATACCCTTCCTCAAGAAAGATACATGAGAAAATTATCACTGATATATGTAGTAGATGATGGATGGATGGATGAACAGATATATAGAAAAACAGATAGACACACCCACAGATAAACAGAGCGTGTGAGTCTATGTGTATATACATACAATTGTACTCTGTGACTTTTAAAACCAACTCATGGCTCTTGTTAGCACATCACTGTGCCCTGCTTGTGTCCTGGCCCAGGTGTGCAGAGCAGCTAGTTCACAACAACCTCCCGACCACCAGTGTCATCATGTGCTTTGTGGATGAAGTGTGGTCCACTCTGCTGAGGTCTGTTCATAGTGTACTTAATCGCTCTCCTCCGCACCTCATCAAGGAGATTCTTCTGGTGGATGACTTCAGCACCAAAGGTAAGAAAAACACTCCTGAAAATTAAACTTTGGTATATATGTAACAAGTCAGAGTTAGACTCCGTGGAAAACAAAGACATGGACGGTCTGTGGTTTCTTCCTCAAGATCAAAGCACATTACATGTTAAGTGTTGAGAAGACAAATTGTCTATAGGACCAAACAGATGAAGCTTCAACAGAGTGCAAAGGCAGAATCCACCATGGTGCAGAAGAAGTGAAGAATCTCTCTATTGGGGTTATCACATAATTTGTGTACGTAAGTGGACCTTTTGCACCTGAAGTCCCCTTCCCACCACACCACAAAATTTCCAAAATGCGACCCACTTCAGAAAACTTTAGCGAATAGCAAAGAGAGGACAACCCTAATAGAACAACGTAGCTTTGATCATGACCACAATGACATGGGCCAGTTTCATCAGCCTCAGAGTGCCTACCAGAATCACACTGAGGTCCGGGAGCAGGGAAAATCCATGAGAAAAACTGGTTGAAAACTTTGAGAAGGGGCCTTGAGAACATACAAAGAAATAGTATCTAGTCACCAAGCAAATGATAGTCTTCTGTATGAATGGCAGGTCCAGATTTGGAGGGACCTAAAGCTTAGATGGTTTCAGGGTCCTCTTTAAGAAAAAAATCCCACAGGGGTGACTGGATGGCTCAGTCAGTTAAGCATCCGGCTCAGGTCATGATCTCATGGTTCATGAATTCAAGCCCTGCATAAGCTCTGTGCTAACAGCTTAGAGCCTGGAGCCTGCTTCGGATTCTGTGTCTCCCTCTCTCTCTGCCCCTCCCCTGCTTGCTCTCTCCCTCTCTCACATAAATAAACATTAAAAAAAGAAAGAAAGAAAGAAAAAGTCCCACAAAATTAGTAGGACAGTGAGCAGCAGAAGTACTTTTGGAAGCCATTCTTACCTAGGATATCTGTCAATAGCTTAATTACACATAGAAGTGATTGCAAGTCATATAAATATACCCCATAGAACCCCAACAACATTCTTTTAGATGGATTCCTCTTTGGCCACCCAACAAGACAAAAGAGGTATGATGGAGAGGGCATCATAGTAGGGAAGTGACAGTGGACTTAACCAATTGCAGTTGCAATATCTTTCTTTCACAAATTTTTCAATTTGCATACAATGTTTATTTAGCCTTCTGCCTGGGTCTTGGCTTGGCTTGGTTTGTAAGCTGGGAAGTTTGTACAGAAACCTGAGCTTATTTTATTTCAAGGCAAATTTGCCCTGTCCTGACAAATACTCAGAAAAGGTGAGCCCTTCTCTGTAACTTGGCAACCCTGAAAAGGATTTGAGATTTAAGAAACAGATAGCTTAGAGAATTGAATACAGACAAAAACCTATCCAAGAAAATGACATCAGAAAATAAAATCATGGCCCAAGGAATAAAATTTATCGACGATAGTAAATATCAGAGTTTCTAGAATTTGATGTTAAGGAAGCACTGCTAGTATTATCCAGATCTAGTTACTCAAAGTGTTTCCTTATCTATTCTTGCTGTGATATAGACTACCTAAAAGATAATCTGGATAAATACATGTCTCAGTTTCCAAAAGTTCGAATTCTTCGCCTCAAAGAGAGACACGGCTTAATAAGAGCCAGGCTGGCAGGAGCACAGAATGCAACAGGTAAGAAGCTGTTAATTTTGTATTTTGGCTATATTTTTGTTTTAGTTTCTTTTTTTATTTTCAAATATACAGCAAATTTGAAATAATACTGCAGGGAACAGCCATAATGCCATCATCATTCCACCAATATTTAGCTTTTTGCAATATGTGCTTTCTCTCTCTCCCTCTCTCTCTCTCTCTCTCTCTCTCTCTCTCTCTCTCTCTCACATACACACGTTTGTTTACACACACTTTTTTTTCTCAACTTTTGAATTTACAGACATCATGACCCTACAACTCTGTGTACCTTAATAGGCATCTCTGAAAAAATAGAGACATTCTATTAGATAAGCACACTTTCATATCTGAATATCGTCTGGTTTATGCTCTTTTCAGACTCCCTTATTGCTCCTGAAATGTTTTTAATAGTTGCTTCTGTCTTTCGAAATTTGAGATCTAATTAAGTTTCATGCACTGCATTTGGTTATTTACTCTTCTTGGTTTCTCAATCTAGAGTAGAAAACACCCTACTTATCACTGACTTGTGTTTTTTTCAGTGTCCAGGCCATTTGTTCTGAACATCGGACCACATTCCGAAATTTCCTCACTGTTTCCTCATGTTACACTCAGGCTAAACATTTCTGGCGTGCATACTGGATAGAATTCTACTCTGTAGGTGGTAGGACTTGCGTACTGCTTATGGCTTCAAATCAAGCGACACATGATGTCAAGTTGTCCAACTGTTGGTGATGGTAAATTTGAGCACTTAGTTAAAATGTTGACAGATTTTTCTTTGAGGAGTAAGAAGCAATTTGTGGGGTAATACTTTGATCCACATGAATACTCTGTTTTCCCTACATTTTACTCAATGGTTTTGCACCCATTGATGATCATTGCTTGGATCATTTATTGCACTGAGGGCTGTTCATCTCTTCTGCCTTCCCTCCCTCTTCTTTTTCTCCCACCCTTCCCCTCTCTCCCTCCCTACTCTTTCCCTCTTATAGGGAAATCCTCACTATTAATTTATGCTTTCAAAAATTCAATTTGTATGTTATCAGCTTCCTTCCTTCCTTCCTTCCTTCCTTCCTTCCTTCCTTCTTTCCTTTATTTATTTATGGTACTCAAATTGTCCCAAATCCGATCACTAGGAGCCCCCTCAAGCCTAAACTGTCTTGGCCTGATCCTATCTGTATTTGAGGACTTAGAATTGTTTACTTCTCTCTTCCCTGACCTGTGTCTGCTCTTCTGATAGCAATTTCTACCTTCCCAAGAGCAATATGCTCTTTTCTTCACCTCTTTTTGGTGTGTGGGTGTTGGGGAGTGAAAGGGAGGAGGCAAATCTTTTCTCTCATGAGTACTCTAACATTAATGCCAAACATATAGGGTCATTTTCACATCCTGCTGTGGAAAGACCTGTACGCCATGATAATAGCTGAACTTACATACCAGGTTCCATTCTAAACACTTTCTGGAGTAATTGATTTGATCTTCACAATAACTCTAGGAGGTAGGTACAAGTAGTTTCCTCATTTCACAGAGGAAGATATAAAGGCACAGTGAGGTTATGACTTGCCCAAGTTCTCCCAGCTAGTAAGTGATACAGCAGGATTGGAACCCAGAAAACTCCAAATCCTCAGTCTTACCTACTACATTTTGCTGCCTCTAGACATTTAGATATCACTCTCCTCTGTAAGCCATGGTATTGCAGATTTCCACCAGCTTGTATTTAAGCATGTTCTAATGGTAAATTATCTACTCACCTGAGTTACACCACCTTGTAACAAGACCACAAATCTGGAACTTTTCATATCCCACTGGTTTGTTAACAAATTTCTTTGGCCTGTAATGGAAATTTTAAACTAACTACAAACACGTCACACTAAAATTAACATTGCAGGGACAGATAAGATTCTTAATGATAGACTGCATTTGAAAAATTAAGTAAAAAATCCATGTTTGACTTCTTTTGGGAAGTAATTACCCACAAATGATACAAAACTAGGAAGTGAGGAAATAGTCCAAACTGACAAGTTTGGGGCTAAGATCTGGATAAGGAACATCCCCAGGCAAGTGGGACAAGAAGTACAATGTCCTGATGTAGAAATATGTTCTGTCTATTCAAGCTAAAGAAGGAAGTTTATTATGGTTGATGGGTGCTGACCATAAAGAGAGTGGTATGAGATTCATTTGGGGGGCAAGGCAAAGGCAGGCTTTTGCAAAGTTTTATGAGTCATCTGAGGAGTGTAGGCATTATTCTTGGTATAATATGAAGCCAATGAAGTACATTAAACAGGTGAATAAAATCGTCTGACTTAATTTAAAGCTCACTTTGGCTGCCTTGTAGAGAACGGGTATTAGGGAAATGTGAGAAGAAGTAGGGAGACCATTTAGGAGGCTATTACAGTTGTCCAGGCACCAGGGAGGTACTAGGACAGAAGAAGGGAGTGGTCAGAGTAAGAATATATTGTGGATATGGAGCCCACAGGACTTGTCATCAAGTAAGATATAAAGAGAGTAATAATGAAATGAGTCAAAAAATAAAACAAAACAAAAACAAAAAAACCCTAGGACTGGAATCAGAGCAACTTGGTGGATGTTCCTCATAACCAGAGGAACAGATTTGGGATTGCAGTTGAGTTCCAATTTTGTTCATGTAAATTTGAGATGAAAATGAGATATCCATGTAGAGAAAGCTGACAAGTGCAGAACCAGAAATGCAATGCTTATAAAAACTTCTCTCTGCCTTGCATGGAGCACGACGCATGCTGGAGATGATCTCCGCAATAGTCCATACTGTTAGACAACACAGGAGGCCTCTTCAGATGGGGTGCAATGAACTTGGTCAAAGCAATTGCCTACTTGGCCTGTTCAAGTACTTACGGTTACAGCCATCAAATCATTCTTTGAATTTAGTAAATCCAAATGTAATAATGTAAATTTGGCTCTTTGTCCCTAATACTCTCGAGCACATTAGCTCAATTTTAGTCTGGTAACTCTTTAAACTATTTTGACCATAACCCATGTTAAGAAATAAATTTTGCATCAGAATCTACTGCATACCTATGTTACACATATAACTACAATAGACATTTCATGAAATAACATGTGCAACAAATTCTAGTATCTTCTCTTTTTGTTTTATTTGTTTTTTAGATTCTGGCCAATCCCACTATGTTGTGGTAGTGACTTGCTAAGGGGTCCCAAATTTAGTTTGGAAAGGCCAGCTAGGTGCATCTTAATTGCTTGTCACTGTCTAATGAAGAGTTGCTTCTAAACTATCGTAGAAGAAGAAGTAGAAAGGTATGTTTCAATGGGATTAGTAATGGCTTTGTCCAAGGATATATCCAAGGGCCCTGAAGTGTACTTGAGTCCTGTGAAAAATTCAAGGGGATTCAGAATCCTGTACCAGCTTTAGGTGAGGAAATAATTCAAGGACTATTCAGGGTCTGGACTGAGCAAGGCTGGTCAACCTGGTGAGTTCTCCCAGACTCCCCTCTGAGCATTCCCCAGCCATCACAAATAGAGCATTAGTAGGAGACGCCCTGGACTTGAACAGTCTCTGTAATCAGAGATCAGCAAAGGTATCAGGGCAGAAAATGTCTCTAGACTGCCTCAGCCAAACAAAGATATGAAGGACCAGAATCTGAATCCAAAATCTGACAGACCTTGATAGCTATGATTTCCTAAAGATTTACCCTTTAGGATTCAGAGAAAAAGGAAGGGGAAACCACAGACAAGGAAGGATGAGATCAAAGATCCAAGGACCTGAAAAAATTGGTCAAGTGGCCCTGTTTTGGTCCCAGGGTATTATTAGACTCTCTGAAAGTACATAATACAAAATATTAAGGGAAAAACAGTAACTCTCTGACAACTGGCAATGTTCACTACATATTCAGTTTTCAGGGCACGATACGTCCTTCATCTGGATCTGATTGAGGCAAAAAGATCAGGTCCAGGTCCAATCAGTTATTTCCTGAGAATGAGGAGTTAGACTGGCCAAACAGGATTTAAAAACTTGAAGGGTATGCCACGGTCAATGGATCTCTAGGGAAAACGTTCTGTATGAAGACACAGAAGTAAAAAGAGACACAGTGATTGAGGTGCAAAGTGTATAAGCCAACCTCCAGGATCTCATGCTAGTATTGAATGAAAGAGTAAGTTACTGCCCTGCCAAGAAGAGTCTGCAGTCAGGAAGGTTCAGTAGTACACTCCAGAGAGTCAGAATAGAGATCAGATTCTCATTTCCTTTATAACAATGGCATTTAGGAAATATTTGACATTGCTGTGAGCATTCCAAAGAATCAGTTGGCTAACTTTAAGTATGTGGACTAAAGTGGCATCTAATTCCTGGACAACCCTGAGGTCTCCTGAAAAGCAACAGTCCTTCCGTAAATTTCTACAACTTGTTTTTTGCTGCAGGTAAAACAGATGGTCTCCTTAGCATCATTTATAAATTATTATGAAAATTTAAACAGCCAGACAGGTTCACATTCCTCAAGGAACCCTACACACAGCAAACCAACACTAACTGGTGCTGGCACCAATATCCCAAGCTGGTTAGCTAAACATATATGGGAGCCCATACTCAACAAGAAGCCAAAGCTTTATGCACATTAAGCATCTCTGGGCTGGTCAAAAAGTAAATAAATAAGTAAGTTACAATCAAATCCATCTGCAAACAATCCAGCATTGCTGGGACCTACTCTTAGGAAACAGAAAAACCTGCCAGTTGGCCATCAAGATAAGATTATTTTGAGCTCTTGCTTAAATACTCATTGACAAACAGTAACAATACTAGCCGTTTATAAGGAATTTAGGTATTAAGTAGATCTTAGAAGTAGCTCTATTAGGTAAAGCTCAGAAAGGTTAAGTGACTTATCCAGTGTGGCTAAGGAAAGCAGAGCTGCATGACCTCAGTCCTACGTCTATTTCACCGTGACTCTCCAGGATAGGAATGGTGTGTGAAATGTCCCCAGACCATATCCACCACAAGTGGAAATCCTAACCAGAGTCAGCAACACAGACAGATCCTTGGTCTAGTTCCTGAGATCTTATTTTAAGTTAAAAAGTGTCTGAAAATGGAGCAATGGCATTCACGCATAGGAGGATTCTCTTCTTGCCCAAAATAAAACAGTATAAAATTCCAGTCTATGTTTTGGGCAGAGGCTGCTTCCTTTGGGTCCTGGCAACAAGTGAATGAAAATCTGTATGGGGATCTGGGCCAGGTGGGAAGTGAATGTAGGGTTGGGGACCCATCTAGCTACAACCAAGGACTGAGAAAGTCAATCCAGACTCTTTGACCCTATAAGCGTATCCTGAGGATACGAACAGGCAGTCTAGTAGAGACTGCTCTTTGGTTTAAATGGACCAGCAGTAGCAGTGATAAGAGGTAAAAACAGAGAAGGAGGCAAACCATAAGAGACTCTTAAATACAGAGAACAAAGGGTTTGCTGGAGGAGAGATGGGTGGGGGGGATGGGCTAAATGGGTGATGGGCATTAAGGAGGGCAGCTGTTGGGATAAACACTGGGGTGTTATATGTAAGTAATGAACCACTGGGTTCTATTCCCGAAACCAATACTGCATTGTTTGTTAACTACCTTGACTTTAAATTAAAAAAAATAATAAGTAGTAAGAGAAAGGGACTGTCTTCTGCACCTGTTATATATACCAACCAAGTAGGACCTTAGCAGACCATGCTTACATACCTTACACACTAGATGGCCCCTGTGAACCTTCACACACAGGGAGCAGGCTGTGCAAGGGGAGACCCTTAGGAGATAATGATCTTTCATTATCAAACAAGCCATAATCTCTGAAAATAAGACTCTCCCAGCATGATCAGGAGTTATAACCGTTGTGTCCCAACAATTGAAGATGAGCAGGGATGGAGACTTTGGTCTAGCACAACCCACTTCTGCCTAAAGAGACTTCTCAAGAACATTCCTCACCAACATTTTGGCTAAGTTCGGTTTCTTCACCCTCTTTCAAAAATTCCATTGTTGATCAGTTAATAGATAAAATATTGAACCATTAATTAAGAGGTTGGTTACAGTTTTTAGTGGATCATGATCTATCATCCGGGTATCTAATTTCACCTTGTTCTTTGCCTGCTATTGTCTTCTGCCTTTACTTCAAGCCTTCATGGTCTAATAGCTTTTCCTCTCTCTGGCCATTTTTTCTTTCTTTTTTTAGGCACACAGGCAATGGAATAAACTCTTTTCGAATATCAGGCTGCCACTTGGCTGTGCAAACTTGGAAAAGTTTAAGTTTTTGTTTCTCTTCAAAAGGAAAAAAACTTAGACCTACATTTCATTTCCGAAGTGGGATTAAAAATTAGACTTATACTTCAGGGTTGTTGCATGAATTAAACAAGACAGCCATGTAGAATGCTTAGAACCATTGTCTGGCATAGAAAAAAACACTTAATTGAAAATAACTGATGTCATTACTGGTTAGTCAAGAGCTAAGGGGGGTGGGGGCAGCCGGGTATTAGAGTGGTCAGTTCAAACAAGACAAAATCAAAGTAACGCTCAAGTCTTTAATCATTTCCTCCAATAATGTAAGTAAGAAGTGTAAGTAAGAATTGAAACAGAAGAAAAGTGCTGACTCCCTCAATGTTCCATTCTTCCCTGTAGAGAAATGGACTGATGGATTGAGCAGATGTGAGGATCGTCTTACTGCCTAAAGGAGCCCAGAACAAAAGACTCCTCCTGTTTTATAGCCCTGGGGGCTAGGGTGAGAGAAAAGAGAGGGGTAGGAGTGGGAAAGTACCAAATGCTGAATCAGAGTGGAGGCAAATGTGCTGGAGATCTACCCATCTCCCACATGGTGAAGCCGGGTTCCTGGCCTGAAGCGGTCCTCGGAGTGGAGGAACATGGAAGAATGTGGACTGGAAACACAGCTTTGCTGAGGGCATGTCCACTGAGTGGGAGGGAGGGCCTGAGCTCTTGACTGCAATTCCCTTCAGAGGCTGGGGCGCGCTGGCTGCAGACCGTGTCTGGTGTGAGAGGGCGGCCTCCCGCCACAAGGCCTGCTAGAGAAGCTTCTGTGATTGCCTCTGGTCAGGCCTGAAAGGATACACAGGATTTCGGTCATAGTTCAGATTCCTCAGTTTATTATTAATCTTAGACGCACACACACATACACACACACATAATCCACTTGCATAAATCATTTGGAACAATGTAGATGCTACTTAGAATTTTATTGAGATGAAAGTACTGCTGCACACAACGAATAGAACAAGGATTTTTAATGAGTATTTTTTAGCCTCCAAGTTTCTCTTTCTTTTCTCTTTCTCCTGCCACGCTCGTATTTTTTATTGTGGTAAAATACAGGTGACATATAATTTACCATCTCAGTTGTATTTCTTCAGTGCACAGTCCAGTGCTCTGAAGTATATTCACACATAGCTTATAAAACTAAAACTCTCTACCCATTAACCTATTCCCTATTCTTCCTCCCACCCCTGTAGCCCTTCCACACTGCCTTCTAGCCTTGCTGATTCCTCCCCTTTTGCCTGTTTGTACCCCTATTATGCAAAATGGTATTTCCCCTTTCTGATGCCAACCTTGGATTATCAAACTCTGCCTGGTCTTCTGAAAAACAAAGCTCAGTTTTCCACAGACCCCCCACCCCCACCCCAGGGTAATGGGACCCACCCTCCTTAGAAGAGACAAAGCAGCCACCCTTTTAATACTAAGGATTCCCTTCAAAGTCTTGGCTACCCATTCAAAGTGGCTTATCAATTTTTTTTTTTTTTTTTGCAAACAAAAATGATGCTTCCAGAAACAAAATTTCTTTTATTTCATGATAGAATGAAAATATAGGGACCAGGAATTCGGTGATCGTTCCGGCCTTTACAATGTACTGCCTTTGCAATCACCTTTCTGGAGCAATCTCCAAGACCTTTGAACACAACAAACACACACTCAGTATATCGCTTTTTTCAAATGAACTTTTTTTTCTGGCTCTCTAGGTGATGTGCTGACATTCTTAGATTCTCACGTGGAATGTAACGTTGGTTGGTTGGAACCTCTTCTGGAAAGAGTTTATTTAAGTAGAAAGAAGGTAGCCTGTCCAGTAATCGAAGTCATCAATGATAAAGATATGAGGTAATATTGTCATATTCCACAAGATACTTCTAAGTGACTCATTAACTAACAGTAGCAGAAAGTACTGGCCATATTCCTAGGCTGCACACTTTTACAAATCTGAGAAATACACAGTTAATCCATTTACATAAATGGAAACACATAATAGATATATCGAGATCAGAGAACGTCAATCCAATTGTTTACTTGATCATCAAAATGCTTAACCCTTAATACCAAGAATTCCTAATACTCATTGTCCAGTTCTTTCCTCTTTCTATTCAGCTGTGCCCCAAAATATTTATCTCCCTTAAGATTCATTCATCTTTTTTGTGGGAAATATACATATGCTCCTAATTTTTTCCCTCAACAATATCCAGAACATTATTAAAAGAAAAGTGGAAGTTAAAAACAAACAATCTAGCCAATTAGTCACTAATGCAAGTTGTACTCATAAATTCTCTTGAAATGTTATAAAAAGTTTGTGATAATCTCAAGTCATTTGTGTAAGCACTTGCTTCATTCATTTTAACAAGACATGGTGTCAGGTTGACCAAGTATATGTGTATGATCTCAAGCAGCATTTGTGTTCTTTTCCTGGATTAGTTACATGACAGTGGACAACTTTCAAAGAGGCATCTTCGTGTGGCCCATGAACTTTGGTTGGAGAACAATTCCTCCAGATGTTGTTGCAAAAAACAGAATTAAAGAAACTGATATAATACGGTAAGCGTGTGAGATTTAAGATTAGGAGGCAATCGTGTATCTTTTTGCAAAGGCATGGGAAGCAATCCCACGAAACAAGTATTTCCCGTTGTTCTATAGACCATCAAGAATTATGGTTTTAGCCAATAAATAGATGATCAAAAGCAAGCAAAGTTTCCCTAAGAAATTAGTTTCCCACTACCAAAACTCATTTTTTAAATGGTCAATTACACCCTATTCAGCCCTGAATCCAGAGAAATTTGCTAACACTATTCCTTCTCCCTGGGATTTACAACCTAAGAAATATAAACTAGTTGAATATGCTGCATAAATGCTATATAAGCACACCTAACATTAAAGGCAACATGAGTAAAAATTAGAAGAGTAAATAATAGTAATAAAAGTATTATTGTAATAATAACTATTGTTAGGATTTTCTTTTGGTGTCTAACTCTACCCCTTCCATGGGAGGGGTGCCATATTCTGTAAGTGAATTGAGAAATATACACAGAAGCAGATATGAACTGAAAGTGGGGTTTTATTGCTAGAGAAGCTGGATTGAAGAACACAGCTTAGACCTGAAGTCAAAGTGAAGACTTCTGAACACTTCCCCAGGAGTCTAGACCTGCATGAAGCCAGCCTCAGGCAGAGTGGCAGGAGTCCCAAAGACTCCCCAGTTGGAGAGAGAACTTGAACTGACAAATGTAAAGAGAAAGCCCAGTCCAGACTGTGCATTGTGGCATTATCTCTCAGAACTTACCCCCTATCCTTTGCTAGGTGCCATGCTTTCAGAATTGATATTCCTAGCAAGTCAGGTAGGCTTATTATCATTTATTAAGCAGTCTGCATTTAGCCCTCTCTATAACCCTAGAAAAGGTGGTGGGTAGGATTGCCATTACAGAGATGAGGACACTGAGCCTTAAAATAATTAATTTTCCCAGGGATATATAGCTTGTAAAAGAACAAATTGGGATTCAAATCCATATCTGCCTGAATGTAACACTCTTGCTCTGATTCCACACCTAAAGAACATCTTTGCCTTTTTCAGACTCCCATTTGGAGGGTCAATGTACTGATCGAGCTCAGATTATATCCCACATAACATTGGGAAGAGAATGCATTCTGGATAGATGGGAAAGGACATTTGTCATTCAGACAGAATATGTGCCTAAGGGGAAGGGAAGTAGGTGTGGGGTAGGAATTATTTTACCCTTAAGATTGCTGTATACCCTAAACACAAGGCAAGCTCTCCACACAAACCCCTTTCAGCTGGCTCAATCTTAACACCATGGGAAGTGATTACTGCTGATTCAAGTGTAGTTTCTATCCCCCATGATCTATAACAGTAATGAAGGATCTGGAGACAGACTCTTTGGATTCAAATCTCAACTGTACTATTGACTGATGGCGTGAGCTTTAAAAGGTTACTTAACCTCTTTGAATCTCTGTTTCCTCAGTTCTGCGTTAAGACTAATAGAAGTAGCTACCTCCATTATCTGAGAATTAAATCTGATTATATAACATGCTTTAAAAAGTGTTTACCACATAATAAGCTGCCAGTTAAGTCTGTCTACAGTTGAGGCAGTGTGGTGGAGTGAGAGATCATAACATCAAACCAGACCACCTAAATTGAACCCCAGATGTACATCATACTAATCTGTGGCCTTGGGAACATTTCTAACCTTTTCTGTGTTGTCCTTTCTTAATGGTATATAGTTTCAGGGTTTTTGTAAAATCTGAGGTTATATATATATATATATATACACACACACACACATACATATATATACACACATACATACACACATATATACACATATATATACACATATATATATACATACACATATATATACATACATATATATGCATACATACATACGTATATGTATGTGTGTATATATATAATACTTAAAGCAGTTCCTGGTACTCCCTTAGCACTAAATAAGCATTTTTAAAAATAACATATTCGGAGAGTTTGGGTCAGAGAGTAAAGACAATAAGAATCATACTTCCAAACCCCATCTTTGTTGACCCCAATCAATCTCTGCCACCATGAACCACGGAAATGATCACTTCAGTGCTATTTGTGACTCCTTTCCAAGACCTCCCCACCCTCGATAGCTATTTTGAAATGTCTCTTAACTCCACCACAACTGCACAGGGGACCCACTCTAAAAAGTTGAATTCGCATGACATGCAAGTTTAAAAAAACAAACATTTCTTTTTGTAGGTGTCCCGTCATGGCGGGTGGACTATTTTCCATTGATAAAAATTACTTTTTCGAACTTGGAACATACGACCCTGGGCTTGATGTCTGGGGTGGAGAAAATATGGAGCTCTCATTCAAGGTATTACCAAGCGGTCCTCAAATTCTTTCTACAATTAAGAGTTTATCATTTGGTTTCATTTTACTAACATAATTAGCTATGGGACTGTCTCTGGGAAGAAATTTCACAGAAACTTTAGGGTCTCTAGATGAATGTTTTTCCATCCCAGATTGAATTTGGAAGAATCAATAGCTCCCATGAAATTTATCAGAGTTCCCTAGTATTTTATAACACTGTTTCTACATCTGAATATAGGGGGAATATTGTCTGCCATTTGACCTAAATGATGTGAGATTCATACTTCATACAAAATATCTCCAGGAACATTTTTCTGATATATCAGAAGTAATGAAAGCATTCAGTAATGGGTCATCTTAGTGAAAGTGACAGATGTACAAAAAGTGCCTTTAGAGCAGGCCATCAACAGGCGATGTTGCAGCAACTTTGGACATCTCAGACAGCTCTGGGTATTTATGATCATTGATCAACACCTAAGAAATCCTTGGCAGTAGCCAGAGTGAAGAGAATCCAAAAGGCAACTGTTTTCTTAGGGAGTGGGTTGGTATATAGTAAAAGGGGTATTACTTTGAGCTCATTTTCAAGTTGTGTTCCATTAAGTTATATGGATCACCCCAAGATGTAAGGAGGGAAAATTGAAAGAAAAAAAAAAGGAAATACATACTCCTTACCCTGATCCAACCAAAGCAGGACTTCATACGATATATTTTATACATTGGGATTCTGTGAGAATTTCTTTATTAAAAAAAGATGTACACTGCAGCGTAGGGAAGAAAACAATATATATTTTACGAATCCTAAAATGCTCCACAGCAATGTGAAAAGCTAAATAAACCTGTTGAGCTTAATTTTAAACCATTGAAAAAGATTTTAGACGTTGACAGTAGTACTTCAAGCTGGGGGGGGGGGCGGGGAGGGGGTGGTCACCAGGTGGTTCCTGTCATTGTTAATTGCCCATGAATTGTGGGCAGTCATGTGATAATTGATGCTTCCTATCAAACTGTTACAGGTATGGATGTGTGGTGGTGAAATTGAGATCATTCCCTGTTCCCGAGTAGGCCACATATTCAGAAATGACAATCCATATACCTTCCCCAAGGACCGGATGAAGACAGTCGAGCGGAACTTGGTGCGGGTTGCTGAGGTCTGGCTTGATGAGTACAAGGAGCTATTCTATGGCCACGGGGACCACCTCATAGACCAAGGCTTAGATGTTGGAAACCTCACCGAACAACGGAAACTTCGAAAGAAACTAAAATGCAAAAGTTTCAAATGGTATTTGGAGAATGTTTTTCCTGATTTGAAGGCTCCCATTGTGAGGGCTAATGGTGTGGTAAGTTCAAGGAGCAAGTTAAATTGTGAGTCCATAAATATTAAATTTAAAAACTCTTGAAAAAGTGTGGAAAGAATGAAGGATTACACTATAAATAAATATCCAATATGAGGGCAGATGAGACAGAGCATGGTTAAGGATTAAATATAGGTGAACTTGAGGGAGGCTTTTAGGCAGCTACATTCATTGATTAATTCGGCAAGTACCTACTGGATATCAATAAACCATACAGTATTTCAGAACTGGATTATAGGGTAAATATGTATAAAGTAGACTTGATGCCTATTTGTGGAGCTTAAAGGTGAGTAAGGGAAACCATGTACAAATATGTAATGCTTAAATAAAAAGTAAAATGGCTCTAATTTAGGGAACTGGTCCCTAGTGACCAGTCCTTCTAAGCTAGAATATTCAACTCTGAGGAGATATTGAATGCTAGCCCTCAAAGACAAGGGTCAGCCAAACTTCAAAAAAGAGAGCCCTAGGCAGAGGATGCCCCTTGTACAAAAACTCTAAGTTAGATGACCGTCTAGGCACTCAAGAACCAGAAAGAAGATGAATGTTGTCAGGGTGTGAAGGAGAAAAGAATGACAACAGATGAAGAGGGAGAGGAAGGAAGAGTGGTCCCATGGGTCCTTATAGGCAGACTAAGGATTCTCCTTTCCCTTTCTTTTTCTTGTTTCTTACTTCCTTTCTTTTTCCTCCCTCCCTCCCTCCCTCTCTCTCTCCTGCTCTTTCTTCCCTTCCTTCTCTTTCTTCCCCTTCCTTCTCTTCCTTCCTTCCTTCCTCCTTCCCACCCTCCCTCCCATCTATCTTTTCTTTCTTTTCTTTCTTTTCCTTTCTTTCCTTTCCTTTTCTCTCCCTCTCTCTCTCTCTTTCTTCTCTCTCCTGAATGTAATAGGGAGCTATTGAGTAGGGTTAAGATTGGGATGACATGATTTAGTTAGATTTTCACAGATTTCAAACAGAAACTGAAAAGACAATGACAGGGAAAATTCCAGGGCACAACATAATGTACCAAAAAGGAAGAAACTGAGCTAGACAGGTTGGACACAGTACAAAATCTATGAACTAAAGCAAGAAAGTAGAGAAACTGGATGAAAGCCATTCCAAACCCATTCTAGGAGTGGGGCTTAATTCGAAGAGGATGGCAAGACGTGAGGATACTTATCATAAAATGGGTTTAGAGGTGATTAGTCAAGACTTGACCTAGAGCTTTTCCTAGTCATGCATATTTTTAATCCGTGTTACTGCTTTCTCATTTAATTTTTATTTATAAATATTCCCAGCATTATTTTATTTTCTTTCAGAGTTTTCTTTTTCTTCATGCAAGAGGTTCTCAGACTTGACCATCAGTAAGCCTGCTATTTTAGGCCATGTTTTTTTCAATTCTCCCTAGAATGTGAATTACACAAACCAATCGCTCTCTGTCTAGGAAAATTCCTGATGGCAAGGACGTAGTAGAGCCATTCTCCCAGTGTAGGGAAGATCCTGGAAGAGTATAAAAAGGAGGAAACTTGAAAATTCAATTGACAAATAGTAAAAGTGATCTGTTTGTAACATAATGTAGTATAAAATGATCATTTTTAGAGGTCAAAATAGAATAACATCTATTTCAGGTGGTTTATCCTGATATTTTTTTTCTAGGTAACTCGTTAGGGAGAACACTGTGGATTTATACACTATTCAAATTATTTGTCTGTAAAATAAACTCACACTTTTTTTTTTTTTAATTCCAACTCCTGAGTAAGGAAAAAAGAAATTCTCACCATATTCTGTCCTAACACAGAATCTCAGCAAGAGCATTACTGAACTTTAACCACCAGAGGGAACTAAAAAACTACCTTTTGCCTCCTCTGTGAGGCTAATGTGTATAAGAGTTCCCATGAAATTTTTGAAGAGCTCTTCTATGAACAGCCGGCTGATGCCTGAGCTATAATATATTAAAATGCACAAAATATTTTTAAATTATTTTTTTGAATTCTATTTGTTGCCTTCCTCAGACAAATTATAATCAAGATGCCACTGGCTTCTCTTTGAAGCAACTAGTAGGGAGTATTATTACCACTTAAAAAAAAAAAGAAGAAGATCTTTCACTAGGCATTTCAGACTTAAGATTAACTGAACCATTATTTTAGCTGGAGAGTCTTGAAAAACCCCAAGAAAATATTTTACAATTTAAATCCAGTGAAAAGGTTTTTTTTGTTTTCTTTTCTTTTTTATAAGAACCGATCGTTTATTTTTAAACCAAAAATGTTTGATAAATAAAAGAACCTCACTAACAATGTGTCTTTATACACATTGGATTAAATGGTTAGTAAGCAGCCTATAGGCTAATGTTTAGCAAATGCCGTGATAAACTGTGGGGAACTCCACCTCCTAAATTGGAAAACGAAAGAATTCAAAATGGATAGATTTTGAAAAACAATTGAAAAATTTACATACTGCCTGGTGAAAAAAAAAATATTGAAATGGTTTACATTAAAAACACAAATATAATTTTTTAAGTTTATTTATTTATTCTGAGAGAGACAAAGAGAGAGCATGAGCAGGAGAGAGACACAGGGGGAGAGAGTGAGAATCTCAAGCAGGGATCCATGCTCAGCATGGAGCCTGAGGCAGAGCTCAATCCCAGGACCCTGGGATCATGACTGGAGCCAAAATCAAGAGTCAGATGCTCAACCTACTGAGCCACCCAGGCGCCCCTGAATACAAGTCAATGCTTAAAACCATTCGCAAGTCAATAAAGAATAACAACCCCTTAGCACTTCATAAGTCGTTTACACACGAAGAAAAGCAGTTTCTCCAGAAATCTCTGATCAGGAGGAAGGGAAACAAATCTTCAGAGAACTGGGGGGGAGTGGTAAGTAAGGGAAAGAAAAATCTTCTCCTTCCATCCAATGCCTTTCCATGTTTGGCAGAAGGGACTGTACAAAATAAATACAAAGTAATCAGTTAAACCAGGGGTTCCCATACACTGCTCTGGGCAAGGTTAGTTGTGCTGCCAGAAATAGGATCCCAGGGCCAAATATATTTGGCAAACACACTGCACTCCCTCGTGTAGCAGACAACTAAACATTACCGTCCTGGGGGTTCTGCCAGGTTCTGGAGCAGTCCAACCTGTTCAGCTGTAGTGAAGCCAGAGTTTTCCAAACACGTGGGAAGATATTTTCTGAGTAATCCACAAATACAGAAGTTTATATTTATCTCAGTGAAAATCCAGACAACTGGATCGCATTTCCCTTCTTTAATCTCTAGGATTATCCTCCTTCAGTGCATTCTTATTAAATCTCTTCTCTGAAGTTGATTCCTTCTGTGTGTCCTGACTGCTCCATTAACTAGTGGTGGATTGTCTCTTCCCATATTTGTCACATTAAATTGTGAATGGAGCTTTCTTTGGAGATTTCTGATGGAAATTCTGTCCTTCTAGAGTTCTTTTCCATGCCAGCCACCCTAGAAGTAACCACCCTGGCACTATTTCTACGTCTGTCAAAGTTCCTATCCAATGCAAGCAGTTCAACTTGCATCTCAAACCCAAATGAAGGTCAATGCAAGGTTCAGATTCCCAAGGGAGAATCTAGCTTCCCTGTTGTCTCCCTGTGCCACTGGGTAAATTGTTTTCCCCGGGACACCATTCTAGTGAGGGTCTACAGTTGTCCATCTTTATGTGAAAGACTGCAATCCCAACTCTCTGGCTTGTCCATGCCCAAGTTCTTTCTCCTGTCCTTACAATATCAGTCCGTTGCTTACCGGTATTTGCCATTTTCCCACTTGCTAAAAGGTTTTGTTTTGTTTTGTTTTGTTTTGTTTTGTTTTCTGCATTTGGTGGCCCCTGAATATTTGTCTTACTTTCTTGCAACCTAAGCTATGCATGTAAAAGTGAGGACCAACCAGTGAGCATGCTGTTATGAAGGCTCACAACTCTGTGAGCTGGACAGTTGCATCATAAAGCACCCTGGATTTAGAGCTCTGTGTTAGGCACGATAGAACAGGAAAGGGCACAAATAGTGTCCCTGCCAACAAAGACTTTCCCCCCACTCCCAGCTCAGAAGGCTTTCCTGAGTGTAGATTTGACTCTACACAGCTCTTCTAGAAATCTAAGAAGTCTAAATTGCCCTATTAACTCACCATCTCATTAGCCTTCCCCAAGATGTCAAAGAGGGCAAGGGAATCAACATTTTTCTGCATTAAATGGTGACTTATAGAAAGCTGCCTCCATATTTGACCCTGTAAATCCACTAAAAACCTGGGGGGCCTGCCAGATAGTGTCTTTAAGCTTGGCTCTGTACTAGCTTTCATGACTTTCCTATAATGAATTGTAGCTTGCCTGAGTCATTAGGAAGATTCTGACAGGGAATCAGCTGGACTCTGCTGTTCTTTGAAGGACTCCATTTATCTATGATTCAGTGCCTAAGCAGTGAAATAGCTTGGAGGGGTCAGCCAGGGAACAGAGCCCATAACTGTTGGTTTGATTAAATTGCAAGTATGTGCGTTGACTTTTAATGTATGCATCAGAAAAACTTGAGACAAGAAAATAACTACTTCTCATGCTACCTTTTGCTCATTCCCTATTCAGCATTCCAGGCAAGGGTTAATTAAAAGCTTCTGTTTGTTGGCTCTGTGGCTGAATCATAGGCCTAAATTGACAGATTGAAGCTGTACTTTAGCAAGATTACATTATGTCTCTGTTAGAGATAGCAACCAATAAAATCGTATAGTGCTAAGTAATGCTAAGCTATCAACTTAACTATCTTTTAACCTTATTATAGTTTTATGGCCTGTGTTTTCTGAATGTCTTGTTCTACTTCAAAATATTTTTTTCTTAATGCATATTTTATATTTTGCTTCCTAGCTTATTAATGTGGCCTTGGGCAAATGCATTTCCATTGAAAACACCACAGCCACTTTGGAAGACTGTGACGGAAGCAGCAAGGTACCTGGGCTGGGTTTTCTCTCTCATAGGTGCAGTGGATAGATGGCCCAGGTGTAGGTGATAAGTGCAGGGTATGGCACATTTACTGCTCGCTTGAGAAATTTATTTTCGCTTTTACAAACAATAATTAATGTATACATTTCTACATAATCATACGGTTGGCGATAAGAGAGCTCACAACTAAACGTACAGACAGCGAGCAAGGGAGTAAAAGTGTGGGTACTGAAGTCAACCCACCAGGAGATACTAGGAGGTGAAAATATGAATATGCAGCCCCCTGCTTTCAAAAAAAAAAAAAACACCCATCTCCCTTTTTGTCTTGTTACTCATTTTTAGCTTCTGCTTCTTGTAGTTTGTTTGAGTAATAAGAAGTAAGGGAAAGTTGGAGGAAGTTAACTTATCTGGGGCCGAATTAACTAAACTTTATACCAAGCCAGTTAATAACATTCATCCAAAAAAAGCACAAAAGGAATAAATTTCTAGGATTAACCACCAAGCTCTATCCTTCACCTTACCTAAAAAGTCCCCTATTAGCTTTTCAGTAACTGTTAACTTTTCAACCAGTTGAGATGTCCCTTCTAAAGGTAATATCTAGCTTCTCTTTGTAGCCACCTCGCTTCCTTGTACTATGGCTTAAGACCATGCATCTCAAATTTTAATGTGCACACAAATCACCTGGAAAGTTTGTTACAATATAGATTCCGATTCAATAGTTCATGATGGGGCTGAGAGTCAGGCGTTTCAACTACCTCCCCGGTGATACTGATGTTGGTCCAGGGAGTACCCTTTGAGTGGTGAGGTCTAACCCAATGACAAGTGTGATAATCTAACTTACATCTCAGTTACATTACAAATGATTCGCTAGATAAAAACATTTAGATAGATTTTACCAGAAGTCTATTTTTTATGTTTATATTGGTGCAAAACAACAGACGTCCCCCAGACCAAGAGCCATACATACAGTAATTGACCAGACAGATAGTACTAGGTTGTAAACAACTGGAGAAAAGACTTATAAAAATCTAAAACCTGGTTTCAATACCTGAATCAGTATTTACTTTAGACTTCAGCAACTCTCCCAAACTGGACTTCTCCAAGAGTAATTCTTGGGAACTAGGGGATGCTAACAGAGCAGAGCCCAATGAGTCTTTCTGCTATCAGCAAAGAAAGATTTTTGACATTGCTTACATTAGAAACATTTTTTACCCTTAAGAAAGATTGTGGACCTTTCCTACAAAGCCTCTAGGAGTCCAGTAATCTGGATACTCTTAAAGAAGCATAATCATTTCCACCAAAGTAATTTCGGGCTGTGACTTAGACCTCCTTGTAGCCCTAATGGCTGCAGGTGGTTTGAATGTTTCACTGCTTCAAAACACCAGGCTTATCTGGGGTTCCGAGTTACCTGAAATGACCTCCGTTTGCGCCTATGTACTAACTGCACTAAATAATTTTTATTATTGCAACTCATATTTATTGAGGGCTTACTGTGTGTTAAATAAACACCTAGCAGTCATTACCTCAACTCTCTGAGATACACGCTGTTGCTATCCAACTTAAAAATGACAAGAATGAAATGCGATATGGTAATAGCTCGCCCGTACTGTCCGAACTGAAAGTGGCAATACCAGGATTGGGTACAAAACATTTGATCAGAGTGCCCATCTCCTTAACCATTGCTAACAAAACTGTGAAGCAAAGACCCTACCTGTGTTTGCTGCTGAAAGTGACCTTTTCTTTATTCATTTCCCGACAGCTTCAGCAATTTAATTATACCTGGCTAAGACTTATTAAACATGGAGAGTGGTGCTTAGCTCCAGTCCCTGATACCGGGGCCCTGAGGCTGCACCCTTGTGATAACAGAAACAAAGGGCTAAAATGGCTGCATAAATCAACATCAGTCTTTCATCCGGAACTGGTAAGCAAAATATCTGTACCTCTTCTTTATCACAAATCCAACTTCCAATTAAAGGGGACATAAAACTCTCATTGTCGGCTTCCTCACTCAGAACCTTTAAATGTGCTTGTGATGATCGAGGCAAAATAAAAGTTCATACAGAGAGATAAACAGATTTTTTTTTTTTTTTTTATAAATTGGCAAGTCCTTCTTTTTCTTTTACAAAATTTATTTCAGGTAGGTTGTTTTAAATATAAGTCACCGGGTTCCTTGGTTACATTAGTATCAGCATCTTTGTTTCTGTAAGTCATTTGTTTCAGTCAACTAACAACGGCAAAGTAACGCTTATGGGCTAGAACTGGTTCTCAATGGTCACCAGAAAAGTCTATAAGGAGAGTATATGGGGAAAACAAGAACCAGCGTGCTTTCTACAAGGCCTGCACTTTAGGATGAATCTGTTTTTTTTTGGCATTCTGCCTCCTTTCCACAAGGTGTGACTTTTCCTCATCCCCCACCCTGGTTACCAGAGACCTGGCTCTCAACAGGTGTTGGAACCAGCTCCCACCAGCTTGTAGGAGCTAATTGTGCGCTAACTTCACATTCAATGACATCACATTGGTATCTTGAAACAAGCCATGATGGGAGTATTACATAAACCCATGCTACAAATCTGGGGGTGTTTGTCCAGAGGTCCAGCTGTTAATATTTCCTAGCCCACCCCTGCTATATCTTCTTCATTCTCAAAGTCCTGACAGTTTTCCTCAATGGTATTTTTTAAAGTTTATTTATTTCTTTTGAGAGAGGGAGAGAGAGAGAGAGAGAGAGAGAGAGAGTGTGTGTGTGTGTGTGTGTGTGTGAGTGATGGAGGGACAGAGAGAGAGGAAGAGAGACAACCCCAGGCAGCCTCCCTGCTGTCCGCACAGAGCCTGACACGGTGCTCGATCTCACGAACTGTGAGATGATGACCTGAGCCGAAACCAAGAGTCAGATGCCTAACTGCTTGAGCCACCCAGGCACCCCTTCCGCAATTCTATTTTAACAAGACATCAAATCATAAGCTTTGGTGTAAGATCTTGGGGTGGCAAGAATAGTTTCAGGAAGGCCTTCCTAAAGTTTCTACTATCTCACTAGCAAGTAGCCATCAAATCCACAAAATGTACTGGGTGCATGAAGACCATCATTTTGCTCAGGCCTGTCCCTAAAGTCAGCACGCTTCTTTTTCTCCTTAGAGTGTCTCCATTCCTTTTGATGTCACAGCCAGTGACCACCCCCTTCATGACAGTTTTCTTCCCGCCGGGGATCAAAACCAGGGTCTGAGCAACACGCTTCCCAACCTTCCTCCCTTTTAATTTTCTCTGTTATATTTCAGTTCCTTCTGGACATTTTTTTTTCCTTGTTAGTGATAATGGCTCTTGTTGACTTATTCAGAAAAATGAAGTATTGCTAGTGTACAAGTTACTAATTTTATATTTCATGGTGTTGGGAAAATGCATAAACATATATTGAATATTCTCTTTGGCTTCCCTAACCTTATGCCAAAAAAGCAGGAGGTGGTGGGGGGATGGGGGAGGTGTTGGGGGAGGCGGTGGGTGCAGGGGAGAGAAAGGATGAGAATGAGAACACATTTTTCATCTCCAGAAGTGAATCTGTTACCAGGAAAAAAATTCAGGCTGGTGAGAAAATATTTAGGAGTAAGCAGCCCTTAAATCACATAGGTCTTATTTACAAACTGGCTTGACCCCATTGAGAACTTAAGCCTTCATTAGCTGATTTTTATACAGGCTTAATTTTGGTCCCTCTAAATGGTAAACCAGTTTGTAAAGAGAGTAATTTAATTAAGATAGCAAAACTTGGATAGCTGTTTCCCGACATTGGTTATGCCTGTGACTTTGTATCATGCTGCATAGCTGCCTTCTGCCTTCGGTTCCCCATTTCCATGCTGCTAGATGTTATAGAGATGAATATCTTAATAATAGCCTTCCTTATTTTTTCAGTACTTTGGTAGTTTTTATACTAAACCTCCTGAATCCTCCAAAGCATGTTAAGAGAAATGGAGAATAAGACTATGAGTAACAAGAACATATCTTTTCTTTTAGCGTTAGGAGTTGAGAGCTTCATGGAAGGAAGTAGGGTAATAGTGAGTTTGACCCTGAATACCAATGCATTGTTAAAATGATACATTTCCAACCTGCATTTCAAAGATATTCTCTAAGCCCACCCACCCAAATGCTCTGGACTATGGACACCTAAAAGGAAATCATTTCATAGGTAGCTTCTAAATACTGGGTCATGGAATGACCCTCCACTACTGGTTCCCTCATCAAATGTCTTTAGGTTGGGGACAAGTTGTTCAGTTACCACTTTATAATCCACTGGCAGAACATTGTAGATAATCCAGGATGATTTTGCTCAAGGCCAACTCCTTTACAAAATCTTGAGCATACTCAAACATCGCCTTACCAGAGTCCTACAGGATGACAATGTTTTTGTAGGAACATCTTTAAAACAAACTATTATGAAGTCACCCCTGTTTGATATATTCTTTTGAATAATTCAAAACAATGTACGTATGATTAAGATTACCTTTGTCATAGTCATGGAAAATTGAGAGAATTAAAAGGTGAAAAAATATATAAAGCCATAAGCATGTTCTAAATTGGTTATCCATTATTTCTAGGATATTCAGTAAATATTAACCAATAATAGAACTTCTCTGAAATACCTTTGACTTTTTTCTAAGTACCTCTGGATTTTCTGAACATCAGGTATTATGTACTATCAGAGATTATGGTGGAAAGATTATAAATATATACATCATTTCTAGCACTTTGTATTCCAAGTTTGCATTCTAAGGTATGAACTCAATTAAGACATTAACTAACTCACTTTTTGCAATGGGTATTTTTTCATGATCACCATCAATTAGAGAACCATCATCCATCAAATATAGTAAATGCTGTATGGAATTATTTTCTTTAAATAATAGAGTAATCAAACCTATTGTCAAAAAATAAATCTTTTGCCTCCTCCCTGAGGAAGTCGTAAAAGTCTTAACAGCCTTGTAGCTTGGCGAAGTGAGATAGAGACAAATTTAATACAGTCTAAAGACTGTGTGCATGTTGTTAATTTAGACAAGAAGAATTCCTGAGGAATCAAAAATATAATTATCTTTTTTTTATTAGTTTGTATTTCTTTATATGGAAGTTGTCAAATTCATTCTGTGGCTCATTCCAGATTCTCTTTCTTTCTAGGTGAATCACATTGTTTTCGGAAACTATCATCAGTTGTTATGCTTAGAAGGAAATGTTTCTCAGAAGACCCTGAAAGTTGCTGCTTGTGACCCAGTGAAGCAGTATCAGAAGTGGAAATTTGAAAAATATTATGAAGACTAAAGAGCAACTAATATTTTTTATCCAGTAAACCCATTAGACACTGTGAAAATTACAGTGGAGGTGGGGACTGTGTTTCTCCATGGTAGTTTACATTCTCAAAATTAATAGCCTTTGAATAGGAGATTAAAAAACCCACAACAGTTAAGAAACCAAGAGTGAGCTCAGGGAAACAGTCTAACATTGGATTGGAGTCCTTCTTCAACTCTAGGTGGCCTTTTGAATTGCCTGCTTCCTGTCCTGTGCTGGACCTCAGCCTGCAAGCTTCCCTATGTGATCAAACAGGTAACTGGAAATGAAGCCAAAAGTACTGGAGGAAGCACAGTGATATTCATGATGACTGAGTCTGATAACAACCAGCTCCTTGGGCCTCACAAGTTGGTATCATCAATGAGAACCTAGACCTTTATTTACTATTTTTAATAAAGCAATGACTTGAGTTCCTATGGTGAAAAGACCTTAGAAACACACGCAGCTGCCATCTTGATGAAGTCCCTTCCAACTGCACTCATGTTCGCCTACCGGTGTGAAGAGTATCAATATCATACTCCCCAATGGTAGAGCTTTAATCTAGAGGACTACATAATGTTGTTTTGTTTTGTTTTTTCCCCATATGAGTCAATGGAAAAAAATTTTCAGTGAGGAAGTCAAATGCTGATTCAATTCTAGATATAGACATTGTTTTAATTCATTTTGTGCTTTTAAAGCTACACTTAGAAAAAAAAACAGTCTTAGTAGCAACCTCCTAGACCTATGTGGACGTTAAAAAAGAAAGAAAAAAGGCAAAGAAAAAGACTGGGTGGGTCACAATACACAGTAGTCACAAAAAATACACTTAAGCGTTGAACACGCTCTCATGCAAGATCAGATAAGAGGAGCTGAAATAAATAAAGCAGAAATAGAGCGATGAGGGGCACCTGGGTGGCTCCGTCAGTTAAGCCTCTGACTCTTGATTTAGGCTCAGGTCATGATCCCATGATGGAATAGAGCCCTGCATCCTGCTTGGGATTCTCTCTCCCTCTCTCTCTGCATTTCCCCTGCTTGTGCTGTCTCTCTCTCTCTCTCAAAATAAATAAATAAATAAACAAACATTTTTTTTTTAAAAGAAATAAAGCACTGAAAAATATTAAAGATTTATATAAAATAGTATTTTAGATTTAACAGCATTCACAGGGTTGAAATATGTTTAAAAAGCTCTAAAAGATTCCAAAGTAGAAATAAAAGGAAGTAAACATAATGAAAGGGGAAGAGAATAAGAATATACAACCCTCAGGAAGAGAGTTAAGAAAAAAAATTGATCTAGACTTGGCCAAAAAAGAAAGGGAATATAGCACCTCTATGGGGTGGGGTGGGAGTGGGGAATAAGGCCATAGATGTGGACCTAGTGATAACACCGATAAATTGGGGACAAAGTCCAATTTTTCTTTGGTCCAAACTGAGCTCCTAATCTTAGGGATGCCAATACTTAGGCAAACTAGAAAAGGTTTTAGAAATCCTAGTATCTTTTATACTGGTTTTTTAGTAAGAAAATTGATACCCAAAAGATGAATTATGTGTCTAAAAATCCCACACCAGTTAGTGAGAGATGATGATTAGAATTTGGATCTCTAAAGAGAGGGCTCATTCCACTGCCCCAAGCCACTGGCCCAAACAAATCTGATCTAGAGCATTCTTAAGATAGAGATACATAAAGCTTTTCGCTGGAGTTGGGTCTCTGGAGGATAACCATGCTATACGCTTGTTAATATAAAAACAGATGAAACTTTGTTCAGTGGAGCTGATGGTAAAACTGGGCATCTTAATTCTGACTTCCTATTTAAAATTTAATTTTATCTCCCAATTAATTACACAAAAGCCGAACTATAACTATGACTCAGAAGGGAAAATAGGTTTGCCTATTTGCATCGTATTTAAGATGTTTTGTTCTGATAATTGACATTGCAGATGAGATAAAAGAATGACTAGAAAATGAGATAATTCTTTTCAAAACGGATAAAACACAAGCCAGTTGCCAAAGGACTAACTGAATTGCTGACCCAAACTGAATCTGCTGAGTGCCTCATGCAAGTATTTGTGTGACTGCAAAAATGTTGAAAGGTTTTATTTTATTTTTTTCCCCCAGTGTAAAAACTCTCTTTTTATTCAAAAAACGTTTCCATGAAAAACATCAACTCTGTCCAGAAAAAGACGAATTATGGTTTGGATTCACTTATCTTTGGGCATACCAATGAAAGAAATTGGAATGTTTTTCACAAAAAAACCAAAAAAAAACAAAACTTCTATAGTCTGTTTAGTGCACACTCTCCGTGACTTCACCATGACATGCTCATAATATGAAGCTATATTTGAATCCATACTGTCAATATCACAGAGGATTATTTTCATATGTGACATGTTTATTCTTAGAAAGAATTTTAAAAACAGCTTTTACCATGTATTTTTCTATTACTCTGAGATTCAAGCAATGAATCATTCGTTAGAAATCTTATAGACCTAAATTTAAGAGTATTGACTAATTGTGAAATCTCCTACCAACATTTTTTAAGCATTATCCTCTAAATTCTATTTTTAGAAGACTATAGTAAAGGAGTAAATGCTACTAGGTCTCTAGTACTTCTAGTGAGAAACCTTGAATGGGACACATTAGGGTCCTCTTCAGCCCTAAATCCATTAGTAGGAGGCAGTGTTACAGGGACTTCAGAGTTTTCCCTGAATTGGTTTGAGTCATTGCCTTTTCTTAGAAAAGCGTCTATACATTTTGTTACTTTAAACACAAGCATAGTTTTGGTAATATTTCACAGGACTTGTTTGATCAAAAGCTAACTTACCAGACCATCGAAGTACTTCTGAACCTTTCAGTTTGCCCAGTTTCTTTCTCTTTTTCAACAGTTACCCAGAACTTCCCCCTAAAAGATGACAGAGCTGTTGTTGGTACAGCCATGTTTCATCACTAGCATCAAATTTGCTCATTTCTGTCTGCTGACGTTCAATCAGCTGTCATTCACAGGGCCCCAAAACCACCATATGCCATAATCACAATGTATTGTTAGCTTCTCCACAACTAATCTGGAAATATTCTCGATATGAAAAACCCTTGCTTATAGTATCGCCTTAGGGATTGTAGAGGAGTAAAAGGATACCAGCTACTGTACGTAGGAATTCAATCTCTCCAGTCCACCTTGATTTTATGAATGGTTTAGAATGGTTTTCAAGGGGCTCTCATGTAAGAGAGTAGGGTTGAGGCCAGCCAGCCAGTACCATTTTATTTGTTTTAACAACTTTAACTTCCCATTCAAACACAGAAAAGAAATATGCCGCAGGTGAGGGTCCCAATATCTTCCATAAAAAACAAGGAATTTACAGGGAATAAAGGGAAAAGAGATGAGAACTAATTATCTTTGAATATCTTTGATGTGCTAGGCACTGTTTATGCCCCATCTCACTGTTGTGCACAACCCCATGAGTTAGGTCTTTTTCTCCCCAATATGCAGACAAGGAGGATGGCTGAGAGGGATTGTCTAAGATCATCCCACGAGTAAGAGATTAAAATTTAGTTTCCATTCTGTCTGAAGAAGAAGAAGAAGAAGAAGAAGAAGAAGAAGAAGAAGAAGAGGAAGAAGAAGGAAAAGGAGAAGGAGAAGGAGAAGAAGATGGAAGAAAAAGAAGATAGAAGAAGAAGGAGGAGGGGAAGGAGGAGGAGAAGGAGAAGCAAAGAATCTCTTTGACTACAGCATGCTGCTATGATTTGTTTTTTAAGTAGAGAGGTCAACTCAGGTGGACTCAGTTAAAATCCCTTCATTGTGATGTCAAGCTTCTTAGGTCTTTCTTGGCTGTTGTATAGATAGGATAAAAGGCTACATCCTTTCTGTTAATCAACCGAAATGTAGGCTTAAGGTTAGCTACGCCCACATGCTTTGCAATAGTCCATCTCCTTGACTTCGTGGAGGACATACTCTTTTCCATTTCCTATAACATATATGAGAAGGAGAAGCGGACGTAGAGAAATTGCTTCTCTGTAAATAATACTGCCGACCCTTTCTTCTACCAACCATTAATCAGAGCTGAAAGACTGTCCAGTTTGAACAGAGGTGGGAAGTAAAAAATTGAAGGGTCCTTTAATTTAAAATACAAACCAAGTCTTGTAACTTTTACTACATTGTGCAGATTGTCACCATAGTGCTTCTACAACTTTTGTGTAGGTTATTCAAACATTGCTACAAGCTGCATGCCTTGAAATGAGAAAAGGAACAGTAACCAAAGCTGATGTACACAAAATATTTATTTCTGGCAAACAGCCATTCCATGGACAGGTTTGAGTAAGCCAATGTAAAGCATTATCTACTCCTGCTGAGGTTTAATGGATATTTCAGGTGTTGGTGGTCCTAAAAGAAAGGACCTAAAAGAAAGGACCTAAAAGAAAGGGGCGGGGGGGGGGGAACCCCTTCACAACAAGCAGATTTAATGCCTCTGTTTTCAACCTAATGGGGCAGCTAATAGTTACCATTCCAATTAGGGTCTGTTTGCAAACTTATGTGAATCATCACTTTGCAGAAACATACAGGAAAGTTCTCATTTTTCAGTAGATAGAGCAAGCTTCTAATATGTTGCATTTCTAATGATGATAGTTGCCATCAAATAAGTAACAAATATTTTTTTTGATAACAAAGGCTTTCTATTTGATTATTGATTGGTATTTGCCAGTTCAAGGATATTAGTCATAAATATCTATATAAAATATAACCTATATATAAGATATTAACACTAATTTTTGAGAGCACAGATTACTTGACCAAAAAAAATCAATCTTTGTAAATATATATGTAAATAAATGTATATTTATATAGATAAATATGTGTATATATTTATATATATGTGTGTATGTATAAATATACGAGGCTCTATCTCTTATGTTTTGAAGTGAGAGAAAATAAAACCAAGAGTTTCTACTCACAAATAAAGAAAACTATGAAATGTGTTTAGATATTTTGAATTATTTTAAGTGCACAGTCTTGTCTGAATCTGGCCTTCTGGACAAAAACGTCTCCAGTAGACTTTCACTCTGGGTATTGTTTTCCATACTTGAAGGGAGTAACCAAACTTTAAATTATCAAGATGCTTATTCACTCAGGAATATGCACATGCCTTAATTCTCTTCCTTCAGACAACTGCCTAAATGTTGCAAGTTTTATACGTATTATCTAGAAGAAGTGGGCAGAGAGACAAGAGAAGGCAAAGGTACAGTTAATGAAAACATCTGTTCGTTCTGTTAACAGAACGAGATGAAAACTATGGAGCATAAAGGAATTTAGAGTAATTTGAACATTTTGAAGTATTCGTTTTTTCCTGCCTCTGCCCAACTGAAGTCATTCCAAAGAAAGAATCAAATGCGTAATATTATGTTTTGAACTAAAACCGCAAATTACTTTCCAAATTCCTGTCCAAAACTCTCCCACACTGGCAGTTAATTACTAGATATCATCCTTTGATTTTGTAACTTGCCACGTATCTATCTGTTCGGTGACCGCTGCTGTTGATTACTGCCCACGTCATTGTGTTTACATTGATTGTGTGGCTTAGTCACCTCGTGTTCTTCATGAGCTATATACACATTTTGGTATTCATATTTATTATGTTACTGTCTGATATTTTAATATTTTCAAATGTTTGCTGTAACTTTTGACATTACTTTTTATAACCCTCTTGTTTTTATAGAGCAATGAAAGTTAAGGCTTTAAAAGTAGTTGCCTT